GATGTTGTTATAAGGACTTATCATTATTTGAATGTTTCTGTAATTTCCCTAACATTAACTACTTAAAAATAAATTGGGTGACATTTTCACCTCAGTAAATTACAACTGCAAATGAATTAGATGAGTTGTAAATAAAAGATACTAATGAATCTCATATTTATGAATGAAGTAATAATTGTAGTATTTTGTTCTAAGTTCCTTAACTAGTTTTCTTCACAATTAAGAAAAATATTAAAGAAATTTAAAACTAGAACTATTGTTATGATATATTCATACAAGTAGAGCATGGGTCGTATTTTCTAATTCATGTGTGAAATTATTAGAAGATCTCTTTTAAGATATATTTTAAGAATAATGTGAGTCTTTGCTAAGTGAAAGAAATTATCTGTGAATGATTTTCTATGAGAGTCACCAGTAAAACAGTCATGTGTGCTTTTTTTTTAGTCTGCTTAATGCAACTTTTAATATGCTAGGATTGTGACTGAGTACTAAGCACAAAAAGATACAAATAATACTTTATTACTAATAAAATTAGAGAGCAGTAAGAATACTGATAGCCAGTGTTTCAAACCCATTCACATTGCTTAACCACAGTAGAACTGACTTTTATAAATAACATGCTTCTATATCCTTAAACATGATTTGGTTAAATGAGCTCTTTTGATATACACTCACTGAACTATTTATTTAAGATTCTCTTGACCTTAGATATAAAAATGTTAAAACTTGAGACTATGTGAATATGTATTATCATATTCTTTCCCCCCCCCTCTCTCTCTCACACACACACACACACACACACACACACACACACACACACACATACATCTAGCCTTGATTTGTTGAAGTAACTATGTTTGTGAATCCAAAGTTACTGACATCATTTTGTTAAAATAAGCCAAGATGTAATGTCAATAGATTAATCTTCAATATTTTGAAGACTGGACTATTACTTTACAACGAAATGTCTTCTTTGTAGCCTTGTGTTAGAGCCATTGTGCAAACAAATCAAGGATAGCTTTTATTTTTATCAAATCCTAAACATTGTGAGATTGAAGGTGAATGATGAAAAGAATGTGTGGGCTGAAACTCTTCTGTTAGCAGAGATTAGAAAAATTATTGAAAAATGGTTTCTGTGATTCAACAAATTATCAGTGCTTGCATGACATATACCAGCAGGTCAAAATCAAAAAATTCTTTGAAGTTGTAATTAGCTTTATTGAATCACCAACTAAGTGATATAACTCAATTTATAATTATGTGATTCATAGTTAACTGCCAAAAATATGTAACAAGTGCATTAAAGCATGTTTTAGAGGTTATGTTCTTTTGCAGAAGCAAAAAAAAAAAAGTACAATTGGTTCATCAGCATTTAATTCCCAAAGTTAAATTATTACATTAAACAAGACCAAAACACAGCATTAGATATGAAACTATCAGGAGCAGCTATTGGAAACAATCACTCAAGGGTGGTGTTAAGAAAGCCAGGACCAGCCACACCCCTTAGTTCTCTGAACCTTTAGTGGCTTCTTCCTGAACACTTCTTTTCACCTTTCGTCTCCCATGGAAATGGAGTAATTAGGCTGGTAGACCTATCCTCCTGACTAAGCATGAGCATGTAAATCAAGGTCTCTGACTGACATGTACACGGCCTTCATACATGTGCACACAGTGTACAAAAGGAACAGCACCAATTCTGTAGTAACCTTGACACTTTCATTTAGAGTGCGCAGAGACGGAAGAGGTTGTTTGTGTGTCTTGTCATCGCTGAATAATTTCTTGGTTGTAGATTTACCAAACAATACTTTTAAATTCAATTTGAAGATGTACTTTAATTCAGGTTTTACTACCTTAACCATTCAGTTTACTGGTTTTATAAAGAAAAATAGAATTCCATGATATCTTTGTGCTCTTTGGAACTCATGCATTTAATATAAAATTTATATATTTGCCTTTCTTTTTAATATAATATTAATATCGCCAAGCTACATAGGTCTGAACAAAGCTATAAATATTTGTAATAAATTTCTTCCTAAAATACCAATACATCCTGGCCATGAATGAAATGAAAGTAGACTGATTTATTGAAGAGATTCAAAGAAATATTAGTCTAAACTAGTGATCAAGTAAGTGTCAGGAATTATAAAAATAACATATCATGGGTATATATATCTTCCTTCAGACTGTGACAGGCTGCTGACTTTTGTGAAAGTGATGATTAGCTTGAAGAAGCAGCTTATATTGTATTTCTGTTCTTTGGGGTTTGTTTTTGTTTTTGTTTTAACAACAGCTCCTCATATAGCCATGGTTAGCCTGGAGCTCACTGTATAGACCCCCAAATGGTCTTGTACTCACAAAGGTCAGCCTGCCCCTGCCTCGCAAGTGCTCAAGTTAAATGTGGGAGCCACTATGCTGTCTAGAACACTTCTGTTTGTAATATGAAGAAGTTTCAGAAATTGTTGCATAGCAATGTTAATATAGTTAATAAAACTGCTATGTGGGGAAGGTGGTAATGAAACTGCAATAAATAAAAATAGTCCAAAACATGAGTTTGTAAACACAAGGTGAAACAAAGAGCGTAAATTCAAGTTATGACTTTTAAAGGAGAGAAACAAACCTATTGCAGCATTTCTCTACTAATTAATAAAACAAAAAGAAATTTAAATGAGTTTATCAAATGTGTTGCCAGCTCCAGCGTAGTTTTTTACAGCTGTGCGTGTATTTAGAACATCATGATCCAGGGGTTTTGACAGTCTGTTGCCTTTCTGTTCTTATATGGTATATTTTATGTTTCTATTCATTAAAATAGCAATACTTCTTTTAAATTATACATTAATTTTAAAATACACACAAATACCCATTCTCATCACAAGCTAGAAAAGCTCACATATCTCTTTTAGTCATCATCTTGAATGAAGGTCTATCCCTCCTTCCCTATCTATCTATCTACTTATCATCTATCTACCCATCATCTATCTTTGCATCTATCTCTCCATATATCTACCATATATCTATCATCTCTCTCTTCTCTCCCTCCCGTCCTTCCTCTTTCTCTCCCTCCATTACCTTCTCATCCTCTCTCCCTTCTTTCTCCCTCGCTCCCTCACTCCCATCCATGCTCGCTTTTTACATTCCCTCTCTCCTCCCTCTCTTCTTCTCTCTTTCTCTCTATCTTGCTCTTTCTCCCTCATGCCCTTTTCTTTCATTGATGTTTAGAAACAGTGTCTTACCAGGATGGTATCAAACTCACTACCCTCTTAAATGGACCTCACTGCTGCTGAGATTATAGCATGTAGTGACATGCCCATAGCTTGGATAACTATTTTATTTGCCATGTCTATTTCACTTTCCTTGTTTTTACTTTATCCTGAAAAGATTGTGATTGTGTAATTTGGGACTATGTTTCACCTGATAATGAATTACTAAGTTCCTTCCATATTTATTTCCATGACTTTCATTCGCTGATACTTGGTTGCTGGCTATTCCCTAAAATTATGTGAAAGGAAAATGACAAAACTTCAAAGCATTTCTGAGTAAATGGCTTTTCTGGATCTCAATGTGACTCTTATGTCACAGTGAGTTCATCACTGAGCACGTTGCTTGCTTGCCCATTGTTCTGCATACACCACTGATTGGTAGATTACAAAAAATATTCTCTAAATACAGCAATCTTTCTTTGTCTTGAAATATCAACTACTCCATTGTATTTTTCTATTAAGAAAGGGTATTGGGTGCCATCTTCTGTTTTTCTTGGCTCAGAGATAATATATTCCAGATTGCACTATGGTGATCATATAATAAAACACTGGTGACGTCTAACTACTTTGTATACTTCAGGCTTCACCAGGTCCTTCAACATACTACCATAGAGTAGGTTTTCCTTCAGCTGCTACAACATTTTTTTGCAGATATCTGTGTGAAACATAATAAAAAGAGTGTGGACACAATGTCATGTTTTGTCTCCACCTTCAGTGCATGCTGCTTGTTTCTTCTTGCCACAGCCAACAGAGGTTGTCTGCTCTGTAAATTAGAATGGACTACCTCAACCATCTCAGCCACAGCCAACAGAGGTTGTCTGCTCTGTAAATTAGAATGGACTACCTCAACCATCTCAGCCACAGTCAACAGAGATTGTCCGCTCTGTAAATTAGAATGGACTATCTCAACTATCTCAGACCTGCTTTGCAAACCCATCCTGACACAAATTAAAACTGTTTAAAAAGAAAAGAAACAGATAAACAAAAAAACATAAAAACATTTTCTGAAACATAAATTAGTGCTGCCAACCACAATGGGAGGGTGGGGCTCTGCAGCCAAAAACTCTTCAGCCCTTTGCCCAAACTACCTTTGATGCACGATGGGTAAGATTCTCAGATTTGGTGACATGAAACTCGGATCAGAATATCATGATCTAGATTTGTGCCTTTTATAGTTTTATTTATTTGCTATGTGATTAAGCTTTTGACATGAAAATGAAGAAAGGAAGTACGTCTATTTTTAGGGATATTGTGATATTTAAGTAAGCGATAATTCTAAACTATTTAGCTTTTTGACAGATGTTTCTGAGCTCCATGCATGCTAAATGGGGTGAACAAATTGACTCTAGTCCCGCATGAGTGACAGAGAGCTGCTTCTACCACTTCACCACACATTTCTGTAGAGAACTTCCACTTGGAAAAACAGAAAACAAAACAAAACAAAACAAACCATGATAACTGCAACAAATGCTAACTTGAAGTTCTGTTGACATCACAACAGTAACATACAGTCTTTTGAAGATAACTTGTTACTATAGATATACAAATCAAGGAAGTTAATAAAATGGATGCCCCCTTCACAGTTTCATTTAGAAAGTTCTCAGAGGGGTTTTGGAAAATATTTATGTCTGACTCCAAGTCTTGGTTAGATGTTTATTCTTCAGTGTTACACATTTTCTTTTCTAATCAGAATTAGATGTTTTGAATATGCCTATTCTAATTTACCTTCAACTGTTCTTTCAGATTTATTGGCCTGCTGCTAAGGAACGAGGGGAACTATGTAAATTAGCTGGAAAAGATGCCAATGTAAGTATGAAACTTTAAAATTACCTCCTCCAATCAGATACTAACAGTGAAGTAAATTTTTATTATTCACTTTTATTGAATAATAACATTAGTATGCTACTTTTGCTACTAAACTAACATTCTCTGTATGGATTATTATGGTAAACAGGGAATGGTACTTCACACTTGTAACCCCAACATTTGAAAGTAGAAGCAGGAAAATTAGGAGTTCAAGAGTAGCCTTTGTAATGTGGTGAGTTTGATAGTAATCTGCACTACATAAAACCCTGTTGGAAAAATTCAGACAAATAACAAACAGAAAGATTAATCTTTATATAAAAATATTTCTACCTTACAAAAAGCATCACTAATATTTACAACAGTCCAAAGATAGAGGAACAATATATTCTAACATAATAACTCTAAATATTATTTTCTCTAGGAAAACTAGATTAGAAACAAATCAAAATAGTCAAATATAAACCACCAGGAAAATTTGTATTTCTATGAATCTATCCTTTACACTTGTGTGTATTTATTTTGTAAATGTCAACAGAATCATGACCTAGCATCATAAATGTGCAGCGGACTTCCTTTCTCTGAGCCGAGGTTAAACTCACAGCACACACAGGGCTTTCTGTGAGTGGTGACTTAGAAATGGCAAGGGCAGCTGAGAATGGAAGGTGAGGGAGTCCGGCATAAGAATTACAGGCAACTTACTCCAAAATTTAGTCATTGCACAAAATGACTCATAAAATATAAACATGTGGTCATCATAGAAAATTCTAGGCGGGTATGGTGCCTCATACTCATAATACCTTCACTCAGGTGTCTGCAACAGAAGGATTGCCACAAGTTCGAGACAGCATGAGGTACAGAATGTGATCCTTCTCTGAAAATGAAACCGCAAATGGAAAACTCAGGTTTAAACTGCCACATAGCCCATTGCAAGTCCTCAGTCAGGTGGACTGAACTGCTTGTGTTTGCTGAGTTCTGCCTGGATTCCTTAGGCAGTGTGTGGCTTGTACTGCAGGCGTCCCCATTGTCAGTTTGTCTTCAGCAGCGACTGAACCCTGTTCTCCTCCCACCACCTCCTTCCTCATGTACATGCTCGGACCTGGATAGGTACTCTGTCTTGTGTTGCACGAACTGTTAGAAGGTTTTATTAATAAAAACAAACCTAGAGCCAGGTATTGGGGTGAACACTGAAAGATCAGAGAAAGACCTAACTTCACCTCACCAGTTCCTCAGCTGATCTCATTTCCTCAGAGTGGAAGCCTCTGTGGCCTCATCTGAATGGATCTCAGCTGGACTGCTGCTAAAAGCCTAAAAGCTTAACCAGGCTCTAGTTCCTGGTCCTCACGTCTTATATACCTTTCTGTGTCCTTCCATCACTTCCTGGTATTAAAGGCATGTGTCACCATGCCTGGCTGTTTCCAGGGTAGCTTTGAACTCACAGAGATCCAGATGGATCTCTGCCTCCTGAATGCTAGGATTAAAGGTGTGAGTGCCACTATTTTCTGGCCTCGATGTCTATCTAGTGGCTGTTCTGTTTTCTGGCCCCAGATAAGTTTATTAAGGTGCACAATATATTGGGGGACACAATATCACCACAGTGTTGGCCTTGACTTCCTGTACTGTTTTGATGGAAGGAAACATTCTTTTTGAGCAAAGTCTATATATCCTAAACTTCACTGAAGATGAACAGAGGTCCCAATCTTGGGCCAAAATGTGGATATCTTATGGCTCTTTTTGCAACATCCTCAAACAACAATAATATTGAGGGTTAAGCTGTGCATTCTTTTCATTTAATAATGACAAATAGTGTCCTTTATGTGAAAGCAAAACTAGATTAAAAAGTAAAGATGATTAATGTATAGCAGTATAACACAGGATACCAGATTTACTGAGAAACTAACAAGACTAAGAACATGAGTCATGCTGGCTCACTCAGTTATTCATTTATTTATCCAGTAAGGAGAGTTAAGTAACATAAATAAGTCAAGTAGGGTGATGCTGCCTATAATACAGCTACTTGGAACCTGGCAGCATGGGTATTAGAAATTGGTGGCTAGCCGGGATATTTAGTGAGATCTTATCTCAAAATAAAAAAAGGGCTAGAAGTCCAGTTTAGTGGCAGAGCACTTGACTAGTATGTGTGAGCATCTAGCTTAAATCTCACAGGCTATTAAAAAAAAATCAAACAATAAAAACAAAAATATAGAACCTATATGTGTATAACACATAGGTAAAACATAAGTCTGTCTTCTAGGACCTTTCTTTCCAATACAGGACAGAGGTCTGAATCACATGATCACTTTTTTGTATTAAGTGTCTAAACCACAATAGTCCAAACAAAACAGAGTAAGTGGGCAGTCATGCCTCATTTTACATCCTGTTAGCATCAAATGTGATCTTTTTGAGGCACATTTAAGTTAACAGAAGTGCATCAGGAAATGTTAGCATCAAGTGCAATGGAAGACACTTTTACATTGACGGTACTAGAAAAGAAAGGGATTACACTCTTCTGGATATATTCCTCTTCCTCCTATGCCATGAATGGCTGTTCAATATTTCCACACTGAGCAGATGCCCATGGATGAAGAAAGAAATTCCTTATTGAACGAGTGAACATAAAATAATTTGATTATAACAGTTTTCAAAATTATTTGTCAAATAAGCAGTAGCGACATGGCAGAACCACTGTGAATTATTTTACGGTTTGTGAGTCATCTATGTTGCGCACTTGATAAAGAAGTAAGGAAAGAAAATTGCCTTCGGTTTACTAGGATAAGCTAGCATCATTTACCCATGAGTCAGAGGAGGGTGAATTATCAACGTCAGGAGGTGGGGTTTGAATTGTGCGAGTTCTCCCATCAGTCTGTTCACTAAGGTACACAGTTACTTCACTGCTTCTCCTGTTCAGTTAAGATGAGCGGGGATCAGCTCCTCTGGGGGTGCCATCCTTGAGCCCACTATCTGTGAGCTAGTAATCACTTGTAACTTTTATGCATGTCTACTGCTAAGCATGGATTCGAGATTTTGGAGCTTTTCCCTTTTTTACAGGGGTCTATAAAATTTGCTGTTGCATCACAAAGGCAAGAAGAGTTGTTTTCTTATTTTCAGTGCATCCTTTTCAAATGGTGTTCTATTTTAGAGCTGTTGAGAATAACTGCCAGTTTTTCGTTAGCTACCTTTTTTAAAGAGCTGCTTTTCATGCCTTATAGCTATAATCTCATTTAATCCCCATTTTCTGATGAGAGGACTAGTCCCAGCAAAAACAAATGGCTCATTCAGTATCAGGCACATGCTCAGTGTGAAGGCAGAAACTGAATCCAGAAGTCTGGACAGTTCCTCTATGCTCCTAACACTATAAAATCTACATAATAGATCAATGAGGTTTATTTTTTCAATTCATTTCTCTATTTAATATCACCATAACATTGATCCTCATTGTGAACAGTATTGCATTGCTTTGACCAACGGAAAACAGGCAAATCTGTGGTTTCATTGACTTCTTTTCTGCCTCTACGCAACCTTCTCTTTCCCTCCTTTCTAGTAATTTTTACCCACTTCCAAAGAGTATGTTTAGGATTAACAAGTGTTGGGAAAGACTGTTCATTTACAGAAAGGTACTATATAACTGCAAAGTAGTGAATTATTTACTATAACAGAAGTTAACTAATTGGGATGGGGAGGGAATAGAAGGTGGAGGGGTGGGAACTATTATACTCCCTTGAACAATCATCCAGTTTAACCCAAGGAAGGGAAGGATGTCAGGGAAGGGCCATGGTTTGTTTTTGTTTTGAAGAAGGATGTTAAAAGAAAGACACAAAGGAAATGATGTAGTTTTTGTCTATACAACTCGAATTAAGCTGCTTAGTATATGCAAAAGAAAGCAAAGATGAGATTAGCCTGGGATATCTGTCAGGTTAGCCACAGATGTGCCAACCTTGATAGTGAGAAATTACAGAGAGAAAAACCATCTTCGTGCTATAAAACTCTACAATTATATAATCTTCTATTTTTACCTTTGAAAAAAGTCTAAAACTAAATGTGTTTATTGTAACAGTTTAATAAGTTCTATGTGAGACAATGAAGGGTCGCTTATGAGCATATCCTTCTCTCTTGTAGTCACTAGCAGCAGGTGACATTGCAATGTACATTCTTGTAGTTTATTTATTTACTAATTTTCAGGATTTCACTGCATACATAGTCTCTTCTAAGAGTTTTTTTTTTTTTTGCCACTTTGCAGAGTCCCATAGCCTTTCCCATGTCATAACATTTTCAAAAGCAGCTCTGCATTCCTTTGCACATCGTTTCATGGATGTTCTATTATTAGAACATGGTATATTCTCAGTATTTCCTGTTATAAATCATCCTGCATGTGAGAATGCTCACATATAAATATTGAGGAGATCATCACCTACTGAGTAATCTTTTACCTGTTAAGGATGTAAAACTTCTTGTGTCCATAGAGTGAAACTGAGCTTCAAGTAGCTGATGATACACTCTAAGGAGGAGTCCATGGATAAAAGATGTATTTTCCTGTGTCCAGGCTACTGATGGATACAGCATACAGTGAATATACAGTGTGTATGCATGGAAGTGTAAAATAAGTATATCTAGTTTTGCTAACAAAAGCAAAAAATATTGTGTTTTAGCTTAAAATTCTTTAATTACAAGTAGTAGGCATTTTTATGATTGTAGAATTAGTTCTTTTAATTGCTGATCATTGCAGTCCCTTGTATTATAGTGTTTGCCATTTTTACTGACTATTTATAGGTTTATAAACCATAGACATGTATGCATGTTTGTGTTATTGATAAGAGCTTATGTGACACCCGCTTAAATGTGTTACAAAGGTTATTTTTACACTGAGTTTCATTAGTAGAAAATATTCACCCATCTTAGGGTTTTATTCCTCTTACAAAGGAAAACATTTAATTGGGGCTGACTTACAGTTTCAGAGATTTACCCCATTATCATCATGATGGGAACATGGTGGAATACAGGAAGACATGGTGCTGAAGAAGAAGTTGAGAGTTCTATATCTTGATCTGCAGACAACAGAAGGACACTCTGTGTCACTGGACATGGCTTGAACATATATGAGACTTCTAGGCCTGCCCCCACAGTGACACATTGCCTCCAACAAGGCCACACCTACTCCAACAAGGCCACACCGGTCCTAATAGTGACACTTCCTATGGGCCAAACATTCAAACAAATGAGTCTATGGGGGGTCATACCTATTCAAACCACCCACATCACCAGTTATCTTGAGGTCTAGACTTTAAATATTGAAATAGGTGTCTCTGTCATTTTGCCCTTTAAAATGTTTTCCTTTGCTATTTTACTATAACAGGTTATTTTCTTAATATATATTTACACTGATAGATTTTGTTTTTAACAAAACTGTGTGTTTGGATTTTAACATATTTATTTGATACGAATTTGCTTAAATATTTTAAGGTCTAAGCATTGTCTGCATGCTGGGTTGCATTGAGAAATGCATCAGGGGAATTATCACAAAAAAAGTAACAGAACAATACCAGTGTGGTTGTCCATCTTTTTAATCTCCACACCTGGGAAGCCAAAGTAGGATACTCTGTGATTCAAGGCCAGCCTCAGCCACATGGCATATTCAAGGCCAGCTTGAGATACATAAATCCCAGTCTCAAATAGAAAAAAAAAAGCACAATAACAAATCACTTGAGGAAAACAAACAAAAAGTATTATCACAATATTGTACAAAATGCATTCAAAGATAAAACTAGACCTTAAGTAACTGGGGGAAATACTCAGTGATGTAATATTTATGTATCATGTGCAAGTTCCTCTTAGCTTTGGGTTAATTCCTGGTATTATTGCCAAAACAAAGCTAAACACATCAAGAACTTCTCAATTATGAGTGTCTTCCAATTGCTCATACAAATGACTCAACTTAGCATTTGTGAGTTGTCAGAATTACACATTAAACTGTGCTGCATTTAATCTGAATGTCAAGATTCTAAGTCCCTCTGGTTTGTCGGTATTGGTTTAGTTACCCTAGTAGAAAACAGAATTTTAAATTTTCATCAGCAGACTTTTTTGCAAAAATTAATTTAACATTATATTTATCTAACTTTTATGTATATGTATGCATATAAGGTGCAAAACATTAAAAGTTATAATATTACTTGAGAATTAAGAAGATTCTATTGTACTGGTGAGTTGATCCAATGGTCAAAGTGCTTTGTGCCAAGCTGGAGGGAGGACCTAAATTCAGTCCCCAAAACCCACATGAGAGGAGAGAACAGACCCAATGATCTGTCCTCTGACCAATGTACATGTACTGTGGCCACAGGTATGCACATTCATATCCATGCACACACACACACACACACACACACACACACACACATGCATTAAACACAAATGGATAAAATAAATAAGTATAAAAGTGATAATATAATAATAACAATAATAATAATTTGATGCTTATTTTGTTCATACCACCACCATACACACTTTCTAGGAAGGGCAGGTTGGTTTGAGTGAAAAGGAATTAGATGAAAAGAAGAAG